CAGTCCCATAAAACCGCCGTTCCCAAACCTCAAAGCGAGAAAAATAGAACAAGATAAATCCTCCATCATCATGGATGTGAAAAAGCTTCCAGGTGCTGGGAAACGAACCATTGAGCTCACCCTTTTGCCCTACATATGACGGAACAAAGAATTTCCGAGAGTTCATAGCTAAGTTCAACACCTTTACCAATGCCTTGGGCTTTATTAACCCTGAACGAATTATGCTTCTTCCACTCCTTTTGAAAAATCCTTCGAGTGAGGAAGCGTACAGAACCGTTCCTGACACCTTGAAAAACGAAGGACCTTGGGAAGACTTAGTTGTTGCGCTATGTGAGAAAATATGCCCAGAGTACCAGCAAGATACAGCATTAGTTCAAATGCAAAGCATCACTCAAAGGGAAATGTCGATCGATGCGTTTGCGCAACTGTTACGTACGGCAAGCCTCTCTGCTTTTTCAGCAGCTGATACCAGTAAAGATCACTTGCTACGAATAACATTCCTTAATGATTTAAATGCGAAATTTAAACCTGGAGTTTTAAGGGCTAAGCCGACTTTTTTCAATGAAGCCATTGAACAGGCCAAATGAGAAGAATCCATTATGGCTCAATCTGATACGACATCCTTACTTGTTAATGCGGTACAACGAGCACTACGACCGTTCACGTATAATCGTTATAGGGGTTCTCGAGAAAGTGAGATGAACAGACCAAGATCGAACTGAAATAATGGTGGTTACAACTAACTATAACAGACGTGGCATTTACAATCCACAAAACCAAAACCGATCAACAAATCAGAGACCTTTCTGGGGTAATCAAGAAAACCGACTGTCTGTCCGATTTGCTCCCAGATCACCCTCTAATAGAGCGCGCGAACAGAGCCACACAAGAAGAGGCAGACCCCAAAATAGCGGTACACGTTGGATTAATACTATATCCCTGCTATCGCCATTTACCATTTCTCTTATGATCACTTTAATTGCCTCAATCCTACTCCCGCGTATTTACGCATACCAAATTTGTACGAAAGCGAAAGGGGGAGCAGTGTTATTACCTCCACCATTACGAAAATGTACTCAAGATAAGCCGCAACAAGTACTTCAAACAACCATACACTTATACACACGTAATGCCTCGTGACATGAATGGGACGCATGGCGCTGCACGAAAGAAATACATGAAATCTGTGTGCACGATAGATTTTTTCTGCGCGAGTCAAATCATACTATCCCCGGAGTTGAACCTATTGAAGCTAATGATTGCAGAGCAGTTTTACGGGATAGAAAGTTTGAAAGCATAGCACTCGTTCCCGGAGGACATAATACTTTCGCGACCCCGAGGCCATACCACATGCCGTCCAGAAGCTGGTCCTATTCCGAATGCGTAAAGCTACCCCGCATAATTCTGGAAAGAGGGCGCAACGACCAGACTAGCAGACAACACCATATTATCTGACTTGCTTCTCAACACGGAGGGATGTTTTGCCCAGAATGGAGACTGCAGATCAGATACCTCTGTAGTAGTCTGGACCTCCCCAAGATTATGACACGAGATGCGACTTTATAGACTTAAGCCAGTACGAAGCTACTATAAGAGACGATACTATAGTGATTCCAAGCATTCAAACCGCTCTAGTTGTCACACGAGCAGCAATTCCTAGTTCGATTCGACTGTGCTTCGAAACCCCGGTTTTTCATACTACCACGGGGAATTATGTAACTTTACCAAAATTCCCACAAGATCACAACCTTCAAGAACTTATTTCGAGGGAATTTAAGTAACTTCATCCAAACAATACTACCTCACGTAAAACACGTAGCATTGTAAAAACATGTTCATTCAGATTCAACATTGGTTGGATTAGGAAGTTCCCAGATTTGAGCAAGACGCAACGAACAATTTGCCCATTTCCGTTTTTGAGACCAGTTTTACGATCAAAAACCCACCAACCCTGATTTAGAACAATTCCTCAAGCGGTATGACTATAAGGACAAAGAAAGCAGTTATCCAGTTCTTTGCCTATAGAGAATTGCTGGAAACTACGCGTAAAGCAATAGCATATATAAACAATGAACAATTGCTAGCCATGATAGCACAGAGACTTACTTTTGAAGAACTGAACGTTGCCTTAGCCCAACAATCAGCACGCACATATCACGCTCGAGCCGAACAAGTAGCTTATAAACTTGCATTAACTAAGGCTCCAATTACTATGAATGAATCAGTACCATCTATTGACGAAATACTTGTCGGATATTTATCGGCACAACATTCAGCCCAAGATTCGACACAATACAGCGATACCAGTATCATGATTTCCTTGGTCTCCAAAATAATATAAGAAATAACAAAAATAGTGAACACCCCGACGAAAGATGCATATATCATGCAAGATGCTAGACTAAATACTCATCCAAATTCTAAAAATTCAATTCCTACAGATTTTGAGAAACTGGAACATTATTTCTCAGCAAACTACTTAATGCCATACGATTTTCCGACCGACACTCTAGTACCTAGTGACGAAGATCAAGATAGGATCTTAACATTTTTCCCACCAATACTAGACGAGTCATCAGTGCTAGCTAAGAATACCACTTTCAAGGAGAGAGGATTTTATATGGCCACGTTTGCTTCGTCAAAAATCAAGCTGACAGAGCTTAAACCTGGTTCCTCGCTTACATTACGCGTCCCAAAAAAGGGTATAGTCCAAGCATCGACTCAGACCCACGAAGAGAATACCATTCAGGCTAAGGCCAATTATCTTTCAAAGGTGTTTACTGACGATCAGACGTTCCGCGATAACATAACTCGTAACATCGCACAAGACCATTTACAGTACGCGACACACATA